TGATCAAAATTATGTAAAGACAGTAAAGTAAAAAAATTTTTATTTAATGTGACATAGAGGTATTTCATGTATTTTTGGCTTAAATACAGTTAACTTTCAAAACACATCATTTTATTTTCTTCCTTATGGAGCCTCAAACACCATTAAGCAATGTTGGTGTGCATATAAAGGCATACGTGCACATTGTCACTCCTCGGGGCATAGTTTCTACAGATATCTGGTAACATCCCATGTAGTAACATGTAATAGATGAAGCTTTTCTATTCTTTACACATTGGCACCAGGACACCATTTTTAGGTATATGGGTATTAATTACATTATTATGTATGTAATATTCAGTCTTTATAGTTGAACCTTAACTATTGGCCTTAAATTATTTCAATAAATATTAAGTATCAAAAGGATGTCTCAATATTTTAAAAATTCTTTGTAATAAACAAAGCAGTTTATACAAATGAAACTAGAACTGCTAATTAAAAGCTGAGCATTATACCTTCCTAATTTATCTGGGTCCATAAATAATTTATTACTGTTACCCTATTAGACTGCAGTGACATACAGAATTCATATGGTCATAAAATTAGATATTTATCTAAACTTTGTGATATTTTCCCATTGATATTCATTTTCGCTTCTTACAAAAGTATTATTTTTACTTCATACTTACAAGAAGGCTCCTCTCTGGTACATTTTACCTTGTGTATTTTCTTAAAAACAAACAAAAAACAAGCCCACAAAAATTAAATCAGTACTTATCAGAAATGGATGGCAAACAAAACTTGTAAACACCAAGGTGTTTGACTGCAAAGCAAACACAAAAGCAATATGAAAGCATTGCACTGTGGTCCTCCCTGGAATAGGAGGGAATGTGGCTCATGCTTTTTCTCCTTCCCTTCAGCCCTCTTTTCTTAAAAACAAACAAAAAACAAGCCCACAAAAATTAAATCAGTACTTATCAGAAATGGATGGCAAACAAAACTTGTAAACACCAAGGTGTTTGACTGCAAAGCAAACACAAAAGCAATATGAAAGCATTGCACTGTGGTCCTCCGTGGAATAGGAGGGAATGTGGCTCATGCTTTTTCTCCCTCCCTCCAGCCCTCTTTTTTTTCCTTCCTTCCTTCCCTCCCTTTCTCTTTCCTTCCTTCTTCCTTTCTTCCTCTCTCTCTCTCCTCTAACCTTCCCTTCCTTCCTCCCTTCCTCTCTGTATTTCCCTCTAACTCATCCAAGAATTTTTGGTTATCGATATCCCCTTAAGAATATCAAGAGGTATCTAATAAATGATTTGCTATTCTTTGGGGATTTGTTTTCACTTTTCCGATACAATTCTAGGCTTGGGGGGAAATTTTAATAACTATATTTTTACTTCTTTATATGGTAATATTCAACTATAGATGTAATTTCCTGGAAAACTCTATGTTTAATGAAAAGATATCCATAAGATAAAATATTTTATTCAAAAATGTTTTCAACCTTTAGACCACTGAAGAGTCTTATAGTTCTATCTCTGTTACACAGAACTGCAGAAAAATATACATTAATTTCCTTATTTTGTTAGAGGTTTGCAATACATTTAAAAACGATTTACAAAGGAAAATGCTCTATAAATACCAAATATTGTTAAAGTTTAAATAAATCTTTTGTCTGCACTATCATTTCCAATTTTCTCTAGCACAGACAAACTTACGTTATTGTAATAAATCCTTCTATCAGCATGGGAAAAATAAAACCTTACCATGATCATTTATTCCTCATTTGAGATTCCCAACAATGATAAAAATGGTAACAGTTACTTGACTTTTTAAGTAATGGTGAAGCAATGATAGGACAGATCTGCAGTCACACAGTTACTTTAATGATGTTAGGAAAGGTCATTCAGCTTTGCAGTGCCATGTGCACACATCAGTAACGGTGAGCGTCTGACAGACATGCAGTGACAAGGGGCAGACAGAAGGTGCCATGGCAGAAGGAAGAGTGGAGACCAGCTTCTGGCATCAGCTTCAGGGTGTGGAGAAGGTTAATGTCATAGCTCAGATCAATCTCGTTTTCTGATGTAGACTTTAAGCCAATCATACACGGGGAATAATTTTTAAAATGTATGCTTAAATAAGAAAAAAAATCTGAACCAATACAACGTAACAAAATTAAAAATATTCCCAAGGGTATGGAAACTCAGCTACCTGGGGTGGTTTCTGTGTTAGGCTTCTATTCATCTAACAATTAAAATGTGTTCACTTGACTAGTTCATGAGGAACAAGAAAAACTAATTTACTTATAATTTTAAAATATTATTTAAAAAATTAGCATTTGACCATAGAAACTGTTGACAGGGTTAGAGTAATTTACAAGATATTCAATGAAGTGGTACCTTTTGTCATTTCAACCTTCTCATTGCTTTGTTAATCAGAATTCTTTCTCACGGATATAAGCTGACACGGAAACACAGAATTTTAGAGTTTGAAAGATCGTGGGATCTAGTGGTTCTCCAAGGAGGGAGTGCTAGTGAACTGCTGTTTGAAAATTCAACAGGCAAGTTTAACAAATCTCTTTGGTTTGGAACTACTATTACTTTTTGGTTCAATGCTTTCATGTTTAGATGGAAAAACTAATGGCTCGGAGTAAATGTGCTCTTTAGGGTGATACGTAGAAAGGGACTAACCTTGCCTTCTTATACGCAGTGTTCTGTCCCCCACTGAAACTGGAGCCCACACTACCATGCATTGGGCAGGTGTGCTGTCCCCAGGCCCTGCCCTTCCAACCACAGCGCATTAGTGGCTGCTCAGAAGATTAATGCCCTGCGGTGAGCTTTATGCTCCGCAGAGGCAGGAACTCACCCAGGCACAGGTGTGTTCAGCAGCAGGATGGAGGGAGCTCTGGTGCTTCCTAGTTGCAGTGAGCAGGGTGGCAAAAACAGGGGCAATCTAATTGGAAAACAGAGTCAAAATCCTATAGGCTAAGCTACACCCATGGGGGAGTTATGCACCCCCCACTGCACAGTATTAACATTTCCATTCCCAGAATACACTGCAGGATCAGTAAACATGTGCTGAATGACTACCTCCACAGCCTCCGTTTCCACTCATAAACCACACCTTCTAATCAAAGGAAATAGAAACCTGTTATCCCACCAAAGGTAAAAACGCAGTTCTGAAAATATTTTGGGCAAATTACAGAATCAGAGAACAGGAAATAAGGGACCAGTTTCATGCATTGTCAGCGGCTGCTATTTCTTTAGTTCCTGAATTTATTCTCTAACTCTCTAGACACAAGCCAAGGGCATTTTTAAAAATGGGTCTTTTATCTAAAATTCCACTGTATCCTACGCAGGTCATTCTGGTGAATATACAGGGTTGGGTAAGAGTAGTTTTGCAGTTGTTTGCATGGAAATACAATAATTAATAAATGATAATACAAGAATAAACCCTATTTTGCATACTCACAACTATAAACCTACTTTTGCCCAGTCCTGTATCATGGACTAGGAATTCTCTGTCTTTGAATGTTAATTTATAATCCTCCATCGTGGATCCTGGCTTAAAGGCTTATCTACTGAAACCAAAGGCCCTTGCAGCTTAACCCTGAAGCACAGCCATGACAAAAGCAACTACAGGCAAAGCATCAAGGTACAAAGTAAAGACAGCTTTGTATTTTAAAAAATAACTGACAAACTTTATATATCCTAAGAAGTGTTTTCTGTTTTACAGTCTGTGCATTTATGTCAGTAACACTCCACTGTCTGAATGTTTTTGAAACTTCTGTTTTGCGACTTACAACCATACAGCACATTCTCTGATTTTCCTGACTGGCAGCAAAAATCCCTCCTTTGAGGGCGAGTTTAACTTGTGAGAAACAGCCAACATCATGTCAGGCAAGGAGAAGGCTATCCAGCTGCATAATACCATTTTGGATAAAATATATATCCAAATATATGTGCCCATAAAGACATCACGAAATAATACTGAAGTCAATTCTAAAGCAAATTTTCAAAAATGCTTTTAGCAACGATATCCCTGAAGCAGTAACAGCATCTCTATTTTTTCATCACTCATGCTGCTCTAAGCTCAATACTATGCTCCTCACACGTTACATTAAATCCTCCTACTAGCCACCCTCCCCACATAGTAGCATAAGTTCCAATAAGAAAACTTGCTCAGTTCAAGAACAAGCAACCCAAACCTACAACTGTAAGTGGCAAAGCCCAGATTCCAACACAAATCTGACTGATGGCAAAGTCCCTGCTGTTTCCAATTTTGCCCCAGAACATAAGAAGGCAGCTTCTAAAGGAACTTAATTTCAAGGAGACAGTTTGTAATTGTATAGGTAAGTCATGATGTACTGCTCTCATTCCCTGATGATTACCAACTACCTGTTTTCCTTACTTCCACTCTTCTCCTCAATCTTAAATAAAACCTACTTTAAATAAAACTTACTCAAATCTTCTTTTAACTCTTAAAGTTTCTTCTCATTAGAACAAGAAATCTCTGCTAACCATTAAGATCCTGAGATAGGCAAGACTTCTCCAAAGTTTCAACTGAACTCTGAAACATAACAGTATCTGGGATGCTCATTTGCTCGTAAAAACGAATCCAGTTCACATCAATAAAAAAACAAGTGCTTCCTCTAGTACTGTAAAACAAAAGGGAAAAAAACCCTTCTTTGTTCAAGAGTCCCATACTCCGTGACTTCAGAAAGCACGTCTGCAGCGGGCACCTTCACTAATATAGGCCACATGCTAACCACCTGTGCTCAAGTGTTGGCAGAAGATAGCTCTAAATAAGAGTAAACGACATTAGAAATAAACTACTCTTAAATTAGAGACTGATAAACACAGACACTCAATTTTTGAGGTTAAGAATAGTTAACACCAAGCTTATATTAAAATTTAGATCATACAAATTACAGAACAAATCTAATCAATTTGGTAATCCAAGCTGGAGAGTAGTGTTAATAACTACTGGAAGGGATTGCGTTTATGTCATCTCAGAAGCAGTAAAACTGAACACACACTGCCTGGTGATGACCCACTGATATTAAAGTCTGTGAGATAAATTTAATAAGAAGGAACAGTCTTTCTTCCCATGGAAATGCTTTCATCTCTCTAATTTTATGGTCCCCTGGTGCTCCAAACCACTACTTTCAGGTCACTAAGAAAAAAAGAAAAAAGAAAGCAAGTACTTAGCATAACAACACTGCAAGATGAATCACCATACCCTGGAGTCATTAAAAAAAAAAAAGAGGAAAGAAATATATATTAAAAAGTATCAAATTTAAAAAAAAATTTCCATGGCAATGTGGAAGAAATTAAGGCAAGAGGGCAGGCCACATTCTTAAAAAGGGTATAACATGGCAATCCCTTTACCTGAGGCTGTTACCGGGAGGCTGTCTGAGGCACCTGTTCTACAGGGTGAGGCACTAACAGGGTTTATGGAAGAGCAAAAGGCAATGGTGGTGGGAATGACCAGGGAACGCTCTGCACATGCAGGCCGGCTCAGTCCAGGGGTTTCAGCAGGCCAGGCACCCACCTGAGACGTGGCCAGGGCTGTCGGCGCCACAGTTAAATCTACGGACGGTTTTGGTGGCAGCTGCGGAGAGGAGGATTTAGGGAGATTCTCCTCACTTAGGACCCTGCTCCCTTGCGGTAAACTGGAAGGAGGTGAAGCCACAGTTTTGTTATCTGCTTTGGCGGCAGCACTGGAGGCCCTGCTGCTATCCGTAACAACTTTGAGTTGGGGGTGGGGTGGAGAAGGAGCTTGGGAGAGCCCTGGCTTTTTTGGGGGAATAGGAGGAGGGTTGCCTCTGTCAACTCGTGCTCCACCGGGAGTCTTTACGCTGGTCCGACCAACAGGCGGGTAGGTGCCAACATCCCCTACCGGGGGCGCTCCAGGCCTTGGGGGTGCTCCCGCTTGAGGGCCAGTAAATCTTGACAGCGCTTGGGTCACAGTATTTCGAGCCAGTTGTTTGGCCACTAGGTTTTCACGACTTGTAGGAGAGACATCTCTTGATGGAGGACTCTGGGTGGTATTTCCATTTTGGTCTGGGTCGTTAGCATTGCCCTGGAACCTAAATCTAGCTGCCTGGACGCGTGGGTTTAGACTTGGATGCAGAGACGCGTTGGCACACGGTGAGTGTAAACTGTGCACAGGCGGAGCTTGTGAATAGCTCTGGGGAGCTGTGCCTAGTGTTTGCAGGGTGGGAGGGGCAGCGTTATTGGGAAGTGGGGTTGTGCTTGTTAAATCTGGTGTTGAACCAGTGCTGGGTCCATTTTCTTCAATTCTATTTGCACTTGGAGATGAGACAGTGGGCAGAGCGGAGCCAATCAAGTCACCTTGGGAAGTCTGCCTGTCAATACCCGGTCTGACCGAGGTGGCACTGGTGCACACATTCCCTTTTGCACTTGCGGAAACTCGGGGGCTCCCTGTGGAAGGCTTTGCAGGCACAGTCAAAGACAACTTCTTCACGTGGTCAGCGCCTTCTGTCGGTAGGTCTGTCTGGCAAGCAACAGATCTTGTCACAGGTCCTTCTGTTCCCACAGATATAGAGGCCAAATGCCTATCTTTCGCCTTCCGGGGGAGAGAGAGGCTTGGTTTGCTGTCAGTTCCCCTTTTCAGTTGCTCAATCATTTTCTTCATCTTGTCTATCTCCTCTTTGAGGTCAGTGGTGTGTGCTTCTTCTCGGTGCAGCTTGGCACGAAGCTGTTCCCGTTCCGTGTCAAACTCAGAGAGCTGTTTTTCCATCTGAGCTTCCATGTCTGTGCTTCTTCGTTTCTCAGCAGAGAGTTCCTCTTCTAATGCACTGGTCTTTTTCTTCTCTTCGTCCAGTTTGGCCATTACTTCTTCTAGCTTTTGGGCCTCGTCTATGACTTTGCCGGAGAGCTGTTTGCACTCCTTGACCAGCATCACGACCACATGCTTGTTCTTGCCTCGCTCTTCCTCCAGGCGGGAGGCCAGCTTCTTGTGCTCTTGCTCAAGGGCTTGTAGCTGAAGCTTTTCCATCTCCAGCTGGAAGAAATTCACAGGACAGCTCCATTAATATGCAGGAAATTCTTTTAGCCAAAGAAGTGCTTCTTGTGAGATTTTTCTTACAATTACATGATTTAGGTTAGCTAAAATACCACATTTTCTAAAGTGTATTGTGATAGGAAACAAATATTTTAGACTCATTAAAATGAGAAAATAAATGTAACTAATTTTATGAAAAACATCTAAGTTACACCAACAGAGAATTTTCTTCATCTACTAAAGTTAACTATAGAAGAGAATAGTAATCTCATCCTTCAGTTCACAGCACAGAGTTCAGTACATTCTGTTTTTGTAAAATCAGAGCTCTGTAAGGGAACTACTTTTTTAAAGGTTTAATGTTTTAAAATTACTAACTAATCGTTGAGGTACAGTATAATAAGTGCCAGTAAATAAATACTAAGCTCCTCTATTTGCAAACTGTATTAGCATTTTTTTTTAACTTTGAGGTTCTTGCAATGGGTTGCTATAGAAACCACATAAAATTATATATGAAAGTTCTTTGAAAACTACAAAGAGCTAAGGAAATATCTTATTAGAATTATAATCAATGTCAGTGAACCCAAAAGTCTGACCCCATCTCCTACATCAGCCTCACTTCCTCACTTAGCTCCCACTCTATTGACTTCCTTTGAGTATCTTGAACACTCATAACCGTGGTCTTGTCTCAGGGTCTTTGACTTTGCTGTTCCCTCTGCCTAGAATGCCAATGCACACCTTCATGTGGGGCTCCTACAGTAGGCAGTGACCAAAAGGAGAGAATGGCTCACTGCCCAGCGAGGGCCTGGCATGTTATTTATTTACTTTGGCTGTTTCCTGCTTTGAAGAAGTTGTTAAGTAACATTGCAATGGGTCCTATGAACAGGTGAAATAGGTGATCGGGAATACACATAATTCTCCAAGAATAATTAGAGACTATTGTTTATTCACACACACTCTATTCTACTGTATAAAATTTGTAGGGGTGACTTTATAAGTAGATTAGGTGAGATCTGGAGAACAACAGTACTGTAAAACATATTTACAGGCATGTTTTAGTCATCATAAAAAATAACATTTATAGTTAAAGCTATGGTGTAGGATTTACCTTTTCTAAATAGATCAAATAATAGGTTGCTATGGAAGGCATACACAAAATTAGAATGAGAAAGTTTAAAATATATTTTATATTAGCACCTTCACCCCATTCTTATAACAATGTAGAAAAAAGCAGAAACTAGGTCAGTTTTCAGCGTATTTTTAAAATATGAGTTTCATAGTTTAGCTCTGAAGGTAGAAAAATGATGTCTTGCAGAACTCTAAGGGCTACCTTCATTTTACAAAACTACCTAAAGGCTAAATTAGTGATTTTCCTGATGTTATCCAGTTAATCAGTGTCAGAATCAAGACACTCACTCAGGGTTCCACTTGTCTCAAGTTTTTCTCACCATATCACACATCTTGCCCATAGAATTTCCTTACTATGGATCAATCACACTTCATTTTTGAAATGATAACTTTCATCTTATACTTCAGAATCCAATTGAAGACTGACTTCCAAAAGAAGATTAACTCAACTTATCTCAGATATTTATACAGAAAACTGTAAGTCTCCCATAATTCATTTGTATCTTTGTCCTGCCATCATTCGTGCCTTATGAATTCTATCTCAGACTAACATGGGTCTTTTAAAATCTTATCACAGATAGCAGAACACAGAGTAAACCACATAACTAAGGTGCCTGCAGAAACATGACTCCAAATTCATTTGCACTTTGAACCCCAATCATCAATCACTCTATCTGCCTTTGTTTAGCTTCCTCTACAATTTACCTCATTCATGGGATAAACTTCTGCAACTCTCCCCAAAACTTCAGCCAATGACCAACTGACTCTCAGTCTATCCTAATAGATTATTTTAACAGGGAATTTCAGACTAATATATCTCTTCTGTATTTATTTTTTAAAATATATTTACTGTTGAGAGTACAGTGGGGCCTTGACTTACGAGTTTAATTCATTCTGAGACCGAGCTCATTGAGGAGCTCATTAACTCAAATTACTCTATCAACTCAATGCAAAAAATGGGCGGAGAGACAACTGGTATCTCAAAAAACTCCTTAGTTGGGACACTCGTAAGTCAAGGCCCCACTGTATTACAGATTTCCCCATGTTTACCTCCATTGCCCTCCTCCATCCAGATCTTGCTTCTTCCTTCCCCTTCCCTTTCCCTTCTTCTTCTGCTTAAAGAAGACCCTTCAACATTTCATGTAATACTGGTTTGGTGGTGACGAACTCCTTTAGCTTTTTCTTATCTATGAAGCTCTTTATCTGACCTTCAATTCTAAATGATAACTTTGCTGGGAAATCTTGGTTGTAGGTCCTTGCTTTTCATCACTGAATATTTCTTACCACTTTTTTCTGTCATTATTTCTTCAAATAGATGTTCAACTTCTTACTCTCTCTGTCTTCTCCTTCTGGCACCTGAATGATGTTAATGTTGGTATGCCTGAAGCTGTCCCAGAGGCTCCTTACACTATCTTTATATTTTTGGATTCTATTTAATTTTTGCTCTTCTGATTGGGTGTTTTTTGCTTCCTTATATTCCAAACCGCTAATTTGATTCTCAGCATCCTCTACTCTTCTGTTGATTTCCTTTACATTATTCATTTCAGCCAGTGAATCCTTAATTTCTGACTGGTCCCTTTTTATGTGTTTGATGTTCTAAGTGCCATGGCATTCTCACTAAGTTCCTTGACATTCTCAGTAGGTTCCTTGAAGCTCTCATTAAATTCCTTGAACATCATTATAACCATTGTTTTGAATTCTGTATGTAGTAGTTTGTTTGCTTCCATCTCACTCAGTTCTTTTTCTGGATATTTCATCTTTTTTTTCATTTTTCTTTTTCTTTACATTATGGCTGCTTCTCTGTGTTTGTTTCAATGTATTAAGTAGCTGCTACATCTCCAGAATTTCATAGAATGGCTCTGTGTAGAAGGTGTCCTTGTAGGGCCCAATGGCTCAGCCTCCCCAGTCTCCTGAGCTAGGCACTCTAGGTGCGCCCCTATGTGGGCTGTGTGCACTATCCTGTTGTAGTTGAGCCTTGATTGCTGTTAGCATCACTGGGAGGGATTGACCCCCAGGCCAACTGGCTATGAAGACTAGCTGTGGCTACAGCAGAAGACACCCTATGGCACAGGACTTGCTTCAGTGGGGCTTGGTTGCTCACTAAGTTCTTCTCTTGAGTGTGTCACTCATGAAAGTGGTAGAGTTGTAATCTGGCATTGTCTGAAGCTGTCCACCAGGTGCACTGGCTCTGCGACCTCCTGGGAGGTGCAAAGTCAGCTACTGCCTGTGCTCTCATTGGGCCACCTGGCTTGAGCTACTGAACGATCTTCAGATGGCTGTTACTTGTGTTGGGCTTGGAGGTGCCCAGGAGAAGCCAAACTGTGAACCAAGGCAGGCTGCTGCTAGTGCGAGGCCTAGGGCCACTTATCTAGAGGTATAGGGCAAGCTGAGTCCAGCTCTACTTTTTTGAGAGATTTTAGGAGTCTGAATCCTGAGATAGGACAGGCCATTCATATGGAAAAGCCACTGAAAACAACTTGGGTGCAGCTATAAACTGGGTTGGCTAGAATCTCAGGTAATCCCCAGGGCAGGGTGAACATTGTGGGTCAGCTTGATGGAGTGTCAGATATGGCACCTGCCAGTCAGCTCTGTGAGGGGTAGGAGATCTCATTAGAGGAACAATGACCTCTGTCAGTCCTTTGGTCTGGGAGAAAGTTGTTCCTCAGGTCTTGCCCTGATGCTAGACAATTTAGATCCTCACTGTATGACCCTGGATCTTTTCAAGCTGCTGCCCCAGGACTGGAGCTCGGAGGGAGTGATTCCAAGTACATTTGTGCACAGGCACTATAAGAGGAACTGCCTGGGTTTCCAGCTGCCTCCATGTCACTCTGTCACAATCCCCGCTGGTTTTTACAGCATGATGTTACAAGGACTTCTCTTCCCGGCACTGGAACTCAGGGCTGACTGTTCTGGTGTGGGGCTAGGACCCCTTGCTCCTCACAGGAGGCCTCCTCAGCCAAGATACCCCTCCCAGGCCACATCTGGGTGTCAGATCAACCCTTTCCACACCTCTACACCTCCTACCAGTCTCAGTGTAGTTCCTTCTTTAATTACTAGAGGCCTGGTTCTCGGATTCGTGCACATTGAAAGGAAAATAATTAGAAGGTGGCTGGCAAGGCGGGACTGGGCAAAATGGGCCAGACACGCCCTGGAGCCAACCTCCCTTGGCCGGCTGGATCTGGGGCAGTTCAGGGGCTCAAAGGGCATCTGCGGAGTGAGCAGGGTTCCTCTGGCAGGTGGGGTCCCTCGGCCTGGCCTGGGGGGATTGGACTGAAACTGGCAGTCCGACATCCCCCGAGGAGTCCTGGAGTGCAAGAGGGCACTCTGCAAAGTTGCTGTCGCTCGGCAGCTCCTGTGATGAGCGTCTGCCCCCTCATGGTCAGTGCACATCATACCTACTAGCTGGCCAGCTGGTTGGCCGGTCACTTAGGGCTTCCATTCCGTCAGATTTCAGGTAGTTCTTTTTTTTTTAATATATATTTTATTTATTTTTTACAGAGAGTAAGGAAGAGGGATAGAGAGTTAGAAACATCAATGAGAGAGAAACATTGATCAGCTGCCTTCTGCACACCTCCCACTGGGGATGTGCCTGCAACCAAGGTACAAGCCCTTGACTGAAATCAAACCTGGGACCCCTCAGTCCGCAGGCCAATGCTCTATCCACTGAGCCAAACCGGGCATCCAGGCAGTTCTTAATGATGGTTGTTCTGTATTTTAGACCTGGCTCTGTGAAGAGGCATATACCACATTTACCTACACTGCCATCCTGGTCAGAAACAGACTTCTGAGTGACTAAGATTCTCTGCTGGTGGCTGGCAAAGACCAGCAGAGGTAGAGCTGGGAGAACCATTGATCCATCCCTGGGCCCAATGCTG